ACTCTGCAGTCTTGACAGTAGGCTTACATCGCGCCACTCAGAATCACATCAGGTTTGCACTTTGCCTGCCAGTGATGGGAATGTGCTAATTGTCCCTTAGAGAACTGTTGTCAGACACAAAATGATGCACAAGTCTGTTCACTCCTTCCCGCCAACGAATCACTCACTTGGCCAATAAAGTAACCTCTGAGTATTGAATAATGGGCACCCGCTCCCTCACCCAACCTTTACATTCCGGTTCTGTAAATATTCTCATTGATATGAAGTCAGAAACTACAGAGACTAATGTGTGTTGGACCAATTCAATAGCTGCATCATAGTTTCATGGACAAATAATGTATTCAGGCAATGTATTAAAGTTTGTTTGAAGAGAGAATGTGCACTTGGAATATAGGGCACTTTTTAAGCTTGGATTTACTGCAAAAACATTTATATACATACAGCACAACTCCCAATATGTCAAACTGTGTTCAGCACGGACATTGTCATAGTCATTGCACGGAATCCACAAATCTCTCTCCAGTGCAAATTTGCTAATGTACCTTATGTAGCAGGAATGAACTGTGATTCCCTTTCACATTCTCATGAATTATATTTGTACCTTCATTCATGAATCTGTCTCCCCTGTGCTGGGCAGCTCTGTACACGTGCAACCAGCTGTACAATAGACCCCGAGTCTTGTGAGTTCTGACCTAAACAGATCTGTTTATTGACAACCAAGGACCAGTATGGATCTTGTGGGAGAAGAAAAAAATATGTATTACAGTTCAACACTGTACATTATCTTGAATTTAGGAAATGTCCAAAATTTGCACCCTCTGAAATACTAAGGAAAAAGTCGAGATCCAGGTGAGATGTCTACACTTGAGCCTGAGCTCCCGTTGGTTCTACACTCACCAGCCATCTTCCAGAATAGCTCACCTTATTGGCCATTGTTTTTGAGTGAGACTCGAATGAAATGAGCGTCAGCAAGCTCAGGATCAGCACAGGACACTGGTATCATCGGTCCCTGGCTGGAAAGCAGGCTTGGGGGTTGTGGTGGCGGAGAGGGCATATTCTCCAGAACCTACGGGTGGGGAACGAGGGAATATGACCTCCCCCCCCCCCCCCACACACATACACATACACACACCCTCCAGAATTTCAAAAACATTAATTTAAGACTTAACTTTTTATTTTTCAAAAAAGTGTAAACGTTCAAAAACAGGTCTGCCAATTCACTTTAAATACCGTAAACATACCATTCTGTGAAGCGCTTTGAGAGGCATCAAAGAGATGATAAGGCACAGTATCAAAATCAAGGGTTAATATTGGTATTATAAAATGGTCATTCATTTTGTGGGTAGTCACTGTGTTCAAATTGACTACTCAATTTGCTTATAAATACAGTTTCGACTCTTGATAGGAATCACCTGTGAAGTGCTTTGAGATGTTTTGACATTATATCAATTGCAAGATTTATTTATGACCTAAAGACTTCCACACTAATGGGCACTTGGTTACCATTAAACTTTGATATGAGATGGCTTATAAAGTTTTCTGAAGAATGTTTCATCACAGCTATTTGACATTCACCTTGGATTAGCCTGGTCTGCAGTACAGTAACACACTGATACTCCTCAGTAAACACCAACCATGCTATTCCAGTTAGTTTTGGTCTGGAAAAACTTTCCACCAGCATTCTCCAGAGGCTGTGCAAGAGCAGTCCTGTGCCAACACTCAGAACTATACATTTATATAGCTTTATATAGATATAGTTTGGGACAGGACATGTCAAGCGACTGCCAGGAAGGTGGAAGGCAAACTAGATGGACTTCAGTCTTCTTTCACCTTGCAAATTCTTACATTTTTATGTTCTTAACTATAGAACCGCTGAGAATTATTAATCATAATAACCCTTGCATTTGACATAGCGCCTTTCACGTCTTCGAGACGTCTCAAAGCACTTAACCTCTATAGCTTGCTTGTGAACATTATTACAGAATCTCTCAGATGTATATGTACCTGCAGCAGTAATCACCGGTAACTCTCTGCAGTGAAACACTCTTTGTATGATTTTCAGAAATGGGGAAAAGGAGGTTACACAATTACAGAATTTACTGGTTGCTTCGTGGGGGACTTCTGGCAATGGAACTGAAGGCCAATAGATTTAGTCAGAGTATTCCTGTGATACATGAAACTGCTTAATTTAATTAGAAACGTGCAGATGTTGCGTGAGTTGGGCCACATGTTTAAAAGCAACTCCTCTGTGGAAACGAGGAGATTCGTTTTCAAGAAAGTCTTTGTTTAACTTGTGAAGAGGGAACTTAGTTTCAGGTCTCCTGTTAAGCACTAAACTGCTAAAGGCTATCATAGAAACTGCTAATAATTGGTTATTCAGTATGAATAATGTAACACTTTGTTGTATTTCCATTGAAGGATCAGAGGTTGTCGCTCAACCTGCTGGTGTATTAATCATTAAAACAAAAGCAAAGAGGGGAATTTTATAGCTGAAATTTGTTTGCAAAAAGTAGTCTTCAGATTGGTTAATTAACCCCCACAAAATCACTGTAAAGTAAATAATTTACAGATTTGGCTGTACTTTATTAAACTGATTGAAAGTTAGTGGATTAATAACAAGTACTAGTAGGTCTATTGGTTAGTTGCAATTAGAAGCACAGTATTATATATCTATACTAATAAAATGACAATGTTTGTCTGCTTCAAGAAGGATCTCAATACCTGATTGATGTAGAGACGTGATGCATACCTCATCGGAAAGGTCTTGCATCTGGGAATGACATGGCCATATTTGTTTTCGGGTATCTCCTATAGTTCATGAGTTATTTTCAGTTTTGCGTTTTTCGCTGCAGCTACACTTGGTGGCCAGTGAGTCAAAGTGGTGCTGTGGCATCGTGCATCACAGACCATGTATCCACCTAAGCGGTGGGAACAAAATACACTACACAAACAAAGCTAAGCTGCGGCAACTAGAAAATTTACATTTTTAAAACGCCGAATCCTCCCACTGAGTTCCCCCACAGGAGTCCTCCCAGATGAGTATAGATAAAGATGAAATGTCTGTCTGTCTGTCTGTCAATCAATCGCAGTTTGAACTCTCCCATCTCCATCCTGGAGCCACTTGTGATGCAGAAAGCCCGAGTGTGTACAAACATCAGGGCCAGATGTTTTGTCCAATTCATCCAGCGTCCGAGGTTAACAGCTTCGGGGCATAGCACGGCCGCCAATGGTGGGGCAGAGGGTCTGGGGGACAAGGAGGAGGCTGGAGCCAGTCGAGCGGAGGGAGCAGGTGGTGGTGGTGTGAGGAGAGATAAGGAGGGGTGCCGGGTGCTGAGGTGACGAAGGAGTGGACGAGGGTTTCAGCAGCTTTTGGAGTGAGGATGTGGGGTACCGAAGGATAGCTGGGGGTCGAACCTGACACCTAAGTTGCGCCTTAGAGAACAAGTCTTAAGACAGCGATCGGGTCGGGTGAGGAGGTCTGACCTGCAGGAGAGAGAAGACATTGACGGGAGAGCTTCTCACAGAGGTGTCAGTTTTGAGCATTGGGGTTGAAATTCTGCTCGTCTGGAAAGTTACCGTCCTTATCAAGCAGACGTCCCAATCAGCAGAAATGTGTACGGATGGCACTTCGACTCGGAATCAGTGTGAAGCAACTATCTTACCTAAACTACAGAGTTTCTAAGCTTATTCCAGTGCCCCCAATACAGCTTTTACTTTGCGTTCTGGAGTTCCACACTTTCGCTTGTGACCACCAGAGACTGTGCAGCAAATGACATTCTGGGCCTGTCTGGAAGTATAGCTTTGCATAAGTATCAAATATAAATATAATAATAATAATAATAATAATCCTTGCATTTGATAGAGCACCTTATCACGTCTTCAAGACGCCTCAAAGCGCTTCACAGAACATACTGTCAAGTGGAGTGACTGTATATGTTGTGGGCGAAACGCAGCAGACAATTGCGCACAGCGGCGTCCCACAGACAGTCGTGGATTGCGTGACCCAATTATTATCTTTTTTCAAATAAATACAATAATAAATAAATACAATGCAGCAAGATCGGTCAACTCGACACCCATAACGGTAAAGGGAGACCAGGAGATGGGGCTGAAAATCAAGTGATTTGACTCATGGCTTTTCTCATGATTCTGTTACCATTGCAGACCTCGTAGCGTCACAGAAACAAATGATTGCGAGAACATCATTGCAATAGTTACCAGCGCTTGTACACTACTAGTTGCTTACAGTGGCAAACTAGTAATATAAAAGTGTATTACCTTTATTCTGTCTCTAATTCTATTCTGAATTATTCTTTTCTTTCTATTCCCATGTAAATAATGCGTAAATAACATTCAGAACAAGTGTTAGCTTTACAGCCCTGCCTGAGTGCTCTGCTGTGCCAGTTTGCTCTTCTCGGGTTTCCTGAACAAAACAAAGCCATGTTTCATTCTAATTCAGGGTAGTTTTATTCAGTAATTTAATAGTGCTCTATTGACTTGGCCACCACTGAGAATAGATGCATTAAAATCTGACTTGATTTGTTTCATTTCCTGGCCAGTTTAAAATAGATTTTATACTGAGATTGGCACAAATTTCACGATGTGAGAAGCTTTCATGTTTGGTGTTCAAACATCAGTCTTCTGGGCATTGCCTTATTCCATTTTTCTGCACAGAAGAAGCCCTGGAGAGGATAAGCGAGCAGCATTGTGCTCTTCCCACTGCCGCTATACGGTGCTGGGAAACACTGCCCTTTGCCGGAAGGTGAAACACTTTACAAAGTAATTATCTTCTAAAAGCGATTCATTCCTGATATGGAATTGAAATTTAAATTGATGCTTTCAGCTCCAGCTCTAATTACCAAGCCTGCAGTTATCCTGCTGTTCCAGGGACTGGAGAATCACTGGAGAATAAAACTGAACCTATTCATTGACACTTAGTTATGCGTTTCAGTGACTTGGGGTCCGTTTTGGTTGTAATGTGCCTCTTTGCTTATTTACAGGAGCAGCCAAGGCTTCATGCACATGAAATTGACCAAAGCCAAAGACAAATACATCTTGGGGCAGAACAGCCCTCCGTTTGACAGTGTCCCTGAGGTCATTCACTTCTACACCACGAGAAAGCTGCCAATTAAAGGAGCGGAACATTTGTCACTACTCTACCCTGTGATAGTCCGAACGCTATAAGATCGTATCCTAGCCTGGCTTCCTTCCTATGGATGGGATAGTTAGCAACTAACTAAACTGGATGGATTGGGCTGACCATCAACACGTCACTATATTTATATTTCAGCTCAATGGAGATCAGTTCCACACGCAAGACTGATGTTGTCAACACTATGAAATATATTGTGTGCTGCAGCTGCACTGTTGCATGAATAGAATATGTTTCTTAAAACCTGTTTGGCTCCTGACCCACTTAGCTGCGAATGAAAACCGTAACCAGCACGTACGTTCTCAATCTACTGAAGTATTCTGATTCTTCCTCCCTCTAAAGCAAGCAAAACACGATACACAGTAGTGCATCCAGTATATTACACCCCACATTCAACAGATTCCCCCTTCCTCACTCTGACCTTGGTGATTATTTATGTTTAATACAGTGGCTTAATAATAAATATATTTTTTGTACAGTTTAACATGCCAACGGGATATCTCGCCATGCCTTTTATTTTCAGACTAAAGAAAAGTTTGTTTTCATTTTGTGTCACGTAGCATTTTCGTTTAAACCATGATGAGTTGCAAGGAGCGAAATGGCAAACCGCTGTGGACTGGCGGATCAAGTCCGAGGTGGACAATAAGGGTGGGAGCCATTAAAACTAAAATGTCGAGATCTCATCTCAGTGCTGCCAAACAATATGGGAGTTCAGAGAAAGCCAATAAATGGGATGGATGTTTTTTTTTAAAAAAGTCAAGGCTTCTCTGATAAATTAAACCAGTTTAAAATGAAGGGTTTGATCCCCCCCCCCCACACACACACCTCATCCCCAGCAAATACCGAGGTCAACAAAACAACAACAAATTACATTTGTACAGGGGCCTTTCAAGTCGGGAGGATGTCCCAAGGCGCTGAGGTCAAAGGAAATCCGTGGTCCTGTTCTCTCAGCTACTGTGTGGAATCTGAAGTCTTAGGCAGTTCACACAGGTGACGATGCTGACATGCTGTAAAATGACGTTGCGGTGTCAAAACTACTGGAGTAACTGCATTCAAGCAGTTACGTGCTGAAACAAACTGTTAAGTGGTAAGTGCTACAGTACAGTAACTCTTACCATCGGCACGGCCATACTGACAATGGAACTCGAAAAGTCACGGTGTGCCATTGCTGATTACAATAAACAACTGTAAGCCTCCCCTCCCATTGCTGTACTGAAGTTATTTCATGCGTCTCTCCCTCCCCCATCTCCCCATCTCAGCTGACGTTCCAAACCCACGTAAAGTGAATCTGCTGATTATCGCAGGTGGAATGAATTCCGTATATAGCAGGAGATTGCTGAATTCTAAAAGGTTTACTGTTACCTTGGGCTCATAAAATCGCAGCATTCATTCAGATGAAGAAGGTCCTTCGGCCCGTCTGATCTCATCCTTGCAGAATACCCAACCTCCTCCCTTCAGGTGGTCTCATCATCGCACCAAGTTATTATTTTTAAATTAGCCAGTGTCCTGGCCTCAACCACCCTCCTTGGCAATTTGAGTGGTTTGCACCCTTTTTAACCTGTTTAATTTTGATTCCCTGATCAGGTGCTTATTGCCATTCTTTATTCCCATAGATTGAGAGAAAGTGTTGGTCCCAATGTCAGGTTTAAAATACTCCCTTCTCTGCAGCATGATCGAAAGTGCTGTTGAAGCCAGAGTGAACCAGGAATGGATTATTTCTAAAGAATATAGAAAAATCAGCCTTGCTTAGAATTGGTAGCAAACTAACAGAGATGGACTTAGCCCAAGGCCTTCAAAAGCGTCAGCCTGCTGTACAATCATTAGCGGTCGTGAAGGAGTCGGGTTCTCAGCTCTGTTGCCATTGCGATAGAATTTTAAACTATAGTGGAAGAGAAAATTACAGAACAAAACACTTGTTTGTTAGTAACATTTATCACAGCAAAACGAGCTTCATTGCTGTCAAGTGTGGTGACTTAGTTCTTATGGGTGAACACAGCAGACGTTTATGCCAGCGAAGGTCCCACAAAGAGCCATGTGGTAAATACCTCAATCTGCGGGAATATAGGCCAGGACACCAGGAGAAAGTCTCTTTTCCTTTTGAATAGTCTCATTGGAATTTTAATATCCACCTGAGCAGGCAAACGGACCTCAGTTTTACAGTTCATCCGAAGGACAAGTCAACCCTTCCCCAAGTATTGCACTGGAGGGTCAACCTCTACCTCAGGGACCAACATGGAGCCCAAGTCACAACTGAGATAAATTCCACGTGTAACGAGATTGCTGAATTCTAAAGTTGTCATTCTTTATCGCTCGCAGTGCATCGGAGCTTTTAAGTTGACACATTTGCCTCAGTTTGTAGGCTTTAGGAAGAAAGAAGAAGAGAACTAAATGGTTAAAAGGCAAGAACAAGCTAAAATGAGAAGGTAAACAAAGTAAGTAGAGTACTTCAATCCACTGCCAATTCTTATTGTAATTGTTAAAATCACAGCAGTTCTTCTCTGTAAGTTTTCTCTTAGGTCGTGGATTTTCCCATAACCTGTCTCCATCCAACACGAATCCTTTTAAAATGGTGTCTTTTCCCCTCAGTAGTGCCCCTCAGTATTCGTAGAAAAACATAGTTTTAAAACATAAACATGTTGTGTTTGATTGGAGCTGTAGTATTAGAGATTTAACCAATTGTCCATTCATCATTAGACGATTGTTTAGAAATGTCAAAGTAATCTGAAACTGTTATAATAATAATAATAATCCTTGCATTTGATAAAGCGCCTTATCACATCTGTCTCAAAGCGCTTTACAGAATATGCTGTAAAGTGAAGTGACTGTGTATTTTGTGGGCGAATTGTGAGAAGAGAGACAGGCAGAAATAACAGCAATCCTTGCATTGAAGTATAAAGTATTTGCGAGCAAACCTAGACCGGGGGTTAGGCCACAGTCACAAGTAGAATAAATTCCACACGCTGCAGGAGAAACTTGAATACCAAGAAATATCTGGGTATAACTGGATCACACCATAATAATCCATGCATTCCAGATAGCCCCTAATGCTGTGGATATAGTGCCTACTAAATATGCCAGGCTGACCTGGATCAAACACTCCCAAAGCTTTTCAAGGTTGCAAAGGTGGAATTACCCATTGAACAAATACCACTTTAAGATGAATAATAATAATAATAATAATGCTCCTTGTATTTGATATAGCGTCTTATCACGTCTTCAAGACGTCTCAAAGCACTTCACAGAATACACTGTAAATTGAATTGACTGTATATATATTGTGGGTGAAATATATCCATGATACATAATACATAAGATTTAATCATTATGTACGGGCTACACCAAGAAGGAATAAACACTGCTGTGCTAAGAGTATTTGTCCCAGCTGTTGCATTCTTACCTATTCACGGGAGAAAGACATTGGACTGGAGCTTATTCCTGAGTTGGTTGGCTTTGCCTTTGTCAAAATTAACAGCAGTCTCAGTATTCAGCATATATGATCTCCTACCTTGTTGGAACTTATTGTTTTCTCTATTTGGGATCCCCCAAAATACAGGTGAACAGATAGCATGGTCTCTGGGAGTGACATTCTGCAGTTAGTTGTTTAATGCTTTAGTGCATGCAACACTCTCTATCTTGATTCACCTTTCCTCTCGGTGGGGAATCATTCAGTGTCCGAGAACAACTATACCCAGTCTCCCGTGCTACAGGCCTCCTGTTCTACTTTGTGCTGAGAGCACGGGTTTCCAGACCACAAGAGAAATTGCTCGTAGTGCGCTTACTATCGTTTAAACCGCAACATATTTTCCCCATCAGATATGGCCTTAGCTTTCATTCCAATTCTCTGTCTGCAGTATACACAACAATAGACATAGAGTTGAAATGGCTTATCAGGGTCAATGTTTACTCTGGCTCAATAACATTGCATCATATTCAAGACATCCTCATTGACTCTCTGAAGACACAGTAATAATAATAATAATCCTTGCATTTGACATAGCGCTTTTCACGTCTTCTAGACGTCCCAAAGCGCTTCATAGAATATACTGCAAAGTGAATTGACTGTATATTTGTGGGCGAACCCGGCAGCCAAATGCGCACAGCAATGTCCCACAAACAGTCATGGATTGAAAATGACCAATTTATTATTATTGTTTTTCTTTGGAACAGTGGGTTCCAGTAGAGGTAGACTGAAAAGGAGTGACTTGGACCAAGGTTCTGGCCTTCAGCTCTGGTGGTACTGAATGCGAGCTCAGCAACCCACTGTGCTCACACCCACAAGGAGCGATAAAACTGGTTCAACTCTGAGGTCCGAAATTCTTCCAAGTCTTAACCTGTAAGACCATTTTATTGTAATATTTAAGATTGTGCAAAACTGTGGAAATTTCTTAACTTCAGTCTTAATTTCAACCCGCTTGTTTTCAAGAACGGTGGAAAACAGACTTTCGAACCAAGACTAAAAATATACACAATTCAGCACGACATTGAAGTGTAAATTACGGGTTAAGTGAGGTGCAATTTAAGGCTGCTGACTCTCAAATGAAGCCACCTGAAGCAAGGGTCAAGTATGGGTGTAAGAGAAGTATGGGCGTAAGAGAAGTATGGGGGTAAGAGGGCAATAAACAGCAGGGTCAACCCAATTCAATGTCTGCCCCCATCGATAAGTTAGTGGATAAGAGCACCGTTGCTCATAACCTGAGAGCTCTTCACTGTCTATCCAACACATGCAGGTAGATATATAACACAAGAACCTTAACAGAGGACAGAAAGCCGGGGAATGTAGATCATAAATTATACATATATTATGTAATCTAATTAAAGCCCCCAAAACTATGTATAAATTCGCCTGCATTATTAAAAGTATTCACGACTCATGTTTACGGTATGTCTTCATTAATGGTCCAATTGTCATTTGGCCTTTTCTATATACCGTGGAAAGCTGTTATAAAAGTATGCCACCTTCTCTTCGTGTGATTTTCAATCAAAAAAAGGCTGAGGCCTTTTATTTAACCAAATTATAAAACATCTGATACTTGACATCTACTTTCCTTTTGTCTTACCTCATTATTTCAAACGTACCCTGACCTTGGGCTCTGCTCCAATATAGCTGGCGTGGACTGACAAGTACAGGGCATCATTTCATTCACTCAGTTGTGCTTCACATCAGTGTCACCTTGAGGCTTTGTGCCAAATTTCCACAGTCTCTTTAAGTCTCATTATTTATAAAAGGCCTGGCCTAAAATGGAGCTAAAATATAAATGCAAGGAGAAAGGTGTCAGTCCTGGATTGGGTGCATTTGTGTCGCTATTTGTAATGATGGGGAAATTATGGCGTGATGACAGCTGCTTTTTAGAATATGTTAAAACCCAGTTTGCACGACTTGCGAGTCCGATTCGGTTTCCTGTTAACATTTATTATAGTAAGAACAAAAAAGGTTGATGCAGGAAAACATCACCACCACATCATGAGTTCGACGATTTCCATTTACAGGCAGCTTTTGTACAACAAAAACTGCACATTGGCTTTCATACACAAGAAGCAAAACACAGCTGCTTGGGTCTTTGTGAATTTCCATCTAATATTTAATAGTTATTGTAAAATAAATGGGATATTTCCATGTAAAAGATATAACAGAGTATTCTTTCCCTGCCGCCTTTTAATTCAATGGCTCTTTCTCTCTTCGGAAGTGGCCGAAACTTATTGGTAGTTTCCATGTATTTTCCGTACACCAAAAGATTGGTTTTAACTCTATAAGCCCACATACACATCTCCTATCAGCTGTTTTTTTTACAGGAAGCATTTGGTTGCATTACAGTAAGTGATTATGCTATAATTAAATGACCTGTCAGCAATGGAGGATGAAAAGTTGCCATGAAATATTTTATTCAGTATTTGTAAAATATACTTTTAAGTGCCCACCAAGGTTTGACAATAATTGCCGTCAGTGGTACAGTATGTTGTTAATCTCAATGAGACTTAGAGCCTTGCTGTTTGATTTATACGTTGCAGTTATTAAAGGAAACTGCTGTACATTTGACAGCTAATTCCTCCACCATTACCAATCCCCTTTAGGTACCTCTGTTGTGGATTGCATTATTCGCGTCTGATTTTGTGAATGCTGTCACTGGCGTTTTTTAGTTTTCAATCTATCTGGACAGATTGGTCAAAATAAACAGATAACTGAAGGAACTGTTGAT